ATAACTAGAGGGACCCACAACTAAAATCTGCAACTATGTACTGGGGGGATTTGGGGAGAAAAAGCAGAAAGAAAAAAAAAGAAAGAAAAAAAGATTGGCAACAGTTGTTAGCTCAGGTGCCAATCTTAAAAAAAAAAAAAGTGACTCATGCAAACATAAAGACTTCGTTAAATCAAAAATCTGTAGTCTAGATGAGTAAGCTGGGAACCCAGGAGAACTGTACTTCCAGTACAAATGCAGCTTACTTACAGAATTCCTCCCTGTTCTCAGAAGGGCAGTCTGTGCTCTATTAGGAATTAGAATTGATTGGATGAGGCGCATCCCCATGGGGGCCGATTCACTCAAACTCCACCCATTGAAATGTAATCTCTTGAAAGAAATCCCCGCAGAGATGCATCCAGTGGAATGTTTGAACCAGTATCTGGGCACTGTGGTGGAGCTGAGTTGACACAGAGCTAGTGGCTTGTACTTTTCCTATATTCTAGTGTCTGCCTGGCTTTGATAATCAGGGAGATGCTGGCCTCTAAAATGAGTTTCGAAGTATTTTCCCCACTTCCAGTTTTGGAAGTTTAACAAGGATTGGTGCGAATTCTCTGAACGTGGTGGTGTTTGGTAGTGGCATTGGGATTGGCAATGATTAACTATTTCGAGGTAGTTTACATGTTTCTAGGAATTTATCCATTGCTTCTAAGTTATCTGTTTCCATGCAAACGTACATAATAGTCCTTTTTTATCCTTCTTATTCTTGAGGCGCCATTGTAATATGCCCTCCTTCATTTCTGATTTTATGTACCTGAATCTTCTCTCTTCATTGCTAGGGTTTGTTATTTTTATTTTTTTTTAATTGAAACTGTTTGGGCTTTAATACTTCTTATTCCCTACCTTTAGCTAATCTTGGTTTTACCTTCTTGTTCCTTAAGGTATAAATGTACGTTGTTAACTTGCTATCTTTTTCTTAATACAGGTGTTTTTCACTACTAACTTCCCTTTACTACTCCCTATGCCTCATCCTACAAGTTTTCTTAAATTGTATTTTCACATTTGCTTGTCTCAAGATATTCTGAAAATTTCATTTATCTTGCTTCAGCAACACTTATATTAAATTCCCCTTCGATTTTGTCTTTGACTCAATGGTTTGTCCAAGAATGTTACTTAATTTCCACGTTTTTGAATTGTCACTATAAGATTTGAGATAAACAGGCCTTTAGTGTGAGGTTTCATGATTTCTTAAATACGAGTCAGACTATGTTTCGTGTTTGCTGCAGCTGGAGGGGTCAGGGGCTTCATGGTCTGCAGTGTCCTTGCACTTATCTCCCTGGTCTGTTGGATTTCCCTAGAAACTCATTCTTAAGTAGAATCTGTGTCTTGCAGCTCTGTTTTCATCCACTGTTTGTATCCTGGGGCCCTACCGATATGGTGTCAGGGATTTCAAAGGGAAATTGTCCTCTCATGTGATGATGAAACCTGCAATGTTTGGTGGTAAAGAATCCCTGGACCGTGAACTTTACAACAGGATCTGAGCACTTATATTTCCTCTGCTTTTGGCAGAGAGGAACCTGAGGTGACTGCAGGTGTCTATTTGAACTTTATACACTGAGTTAAGACGTGGGTACATTAGTTTTATCTGACGGATGGTCTACTTCACAGACAGCAATATGCTTTTCATGTATATCAAAAGGTTTTTCCTCATTTGCTGGATGAAGCAGGAGGCAATTTTTTCTGATCTTCACTATGAAGACCACGTTGGGCTGCTGAAGGAAACATTCATGAATGTGGGGGGACCCCTAAGACTGGCCCCTCCCTAGAGTTTTTAACTCTCAAGATAATCCATACTGTGTGTCTAGCAATTCATCTCTTGTTATGTTGATGTGTTCCTAGAAAGCTGCTTGCTCCAGTCACTCCGCCTCCTGGTACATGGGCATTATCTATATTCACCTTCTCTCATGTAGGGGGCATTGTTGCCATGTAAACTCAAATCTCTCATGGATCGAAGAAGAGGTGTTCCCTTTAAGAGTGTTTAGTATTTTTCTTCTGAAGATGAGAGCGATCACTCAGACATCTTTACACATCAGAACAGAAACCATTCACACACATCTGTCGCTCTGTATTTTGCACAGATCAATTGAACAGAATTGAAAGCCCAGAAATAAAACCACCCATCTATGGACAGCTACTCTTTGAGAAAGGACCTGAGGGCCTACAATGGAGAAAAGAAATTCTCTTCAACAAATGGTGCTGGAAAACTGGACAGCCACATATAAAAGAACGAAAATTGACCATGCGTTTTCACCATTCACAAAAATAAAATCAAAATGGATCAAAGACCTAAGGCTGAGACCTGAAACCATAAGGCATCTAGAAGAACATGTAGGCAGTACACTCTTTGACATCAGTATTAAAAGGATCTTTTCGGACACCATTTCTTCTCAGAGAAGGGAAACAACAGAAAGAATGAACAAATGGGACTGCATCAGACTAAAGAGCTTCTTCAAGGCTAGGAAAACAGGATTGAAACAAAAAACAACCCACTAACTGGGAAGAAGTATTTGCAAGTCATTTTCTATAAAGAACTCACACAACTCAACAACAAAAAATCAAACAACCCGATCCAAAAATGGGCAGGGGACATGAACAGACATTTCTCCAAAGCAGATATACGGATGGCCAATAGACACATGAAAAGATGCTCATCATCACTATCATGAGGGAAATGCAAATCAAAACTACACTAAGATATCACCTTACACCTGTTAGAATGGCAAAAATAAACAAAACAAAAAGTGACAAATGTTGGAGAGGTTGTGGAGAAAAAGGAACCCTCATACATTGCTGGTGGGAATGCAAACTGGTGCAGCCACTAGGGAAAACAGTATGGAAGTTTCTCAAAAAATTAAAAATAGAACTACCATATGTCCCAGCCATCCCACTACTGGGTATCTATCCAAGAATTTGAAATCACCAATTCCAAAAGTCCCAGGCACCCCAATGATCATTGCAGCGTTATTCACAACAGCCAAGACGTGGAAGCAACCTAAGTGCCCATCAACAGATGACTGGATAGAGAAGATATGGTGTATATATACAATGGAATACTACTCAGCCATAAAAAAAGGATAAAATCATCCCATTCACAACAACATGCATGGACCTTGAGGGAATTATGTTAAGTGAAATAAGCCAGATAGAGAAGGACAATCTCTGTATGACTCCACTCATAGGTGGAAGTTAAACATACAGACAAAGAGAACTGATTGGTGCTTACCAGGGGAAAGGGGGTTTGGGGGGAGGGCACAAAGGGTGAAGTGGTGCACGTACGACATGACTGACAACACTTTACAACTGAAATTTAACAAGGTTGTAATAATCTTAAAAGTTAAAATAAAATGTACAATATAGACAATGAATTAGGCATATCCAGGAGCTGTAAACACAAGGCCAGTAAGAAAATCACCACATACAAACTGTCATTTTTTCAATACCCCCGTAACACAGAACAATTAAAACATTATAAAAAAACTAAAAATACAAAATTATTAACTGATTTAAGGGAAAAGCACTACCTATGAATCTTATTTACCATTTATGAAGGCTGACTAGCAGAATCATCTCACCTCAATATTCATTTCTGAAGTAATTAATACAAATCCACAGTCCAATGCTGCACTTTAAGAAACAGGCTTGATAAATACAATATGTTTACTACTTTTATAACAACTCTTCATGTTGAAAGTTTATTCCATGAAGCTTTCTCATATGACTTACATTTACATTTCTTGCTGGTGGGAGTTTCACAGAGAAGGATGTAGGCCAAATGAAGGCTTTCTCATGCTGTTCACATTCAAGACGTTTTTATCAAGTGAGTCCTTTCATGCCTTCAAGAAGAACTGAGATAACAAAAGTGTTTCCCAAATTGTTTATATCTACCTGGTTTCTCCTCTAGTGTGCATTTGTGCATAGCCTCAAAAGGTTGCATGAGAAGTAAAGCCTGTCTCACTTTCCTGACATTCATGAGGCTTTCTCTCCACTGTGACTTCTTTCATGGACTCGAAGAGAACTGGAAGCAGTGAAGACTTTACTGCATATTTTACATTCATACGGTTTTTCTCCAGTGTGAGTTCTTTCATGTACTCGAAGAGAACTGGAAGAATTGAATGCTTTAGGGCAGTTTTTACATTCATAAGGTTTCTCTCCAGTGTGAGTTCTTTCATGCTCTCGAAGACAACAGGAAACACTGAATGCTTTACTGCATTTTTTACATTCATAAGGTTTCTCTCCAGTGTGCGTTCTTTCATGAACTCGAAGAGAACAGGAAGAAGTGAATGCTTTGCCACATTTTTTACATTCGTAGGGTTTCTCTCCTGTATGAGTTCTTTCATGTTTTGAAAGAAGACCGGAAAAAGTGAATGCTTTACTGCATTTTTTACATTCAAAGGGTTTCTCTCCAGTGTGAATTCTTTCATGTTTTTTAAGATGACCGGAAGAAGTGAATGCTTTACGGCACGTTTTACATTCATAGGGTCTCTCTCCGGTATGAATCCTTCCATGTATTTGAAGGTAACTGGAGGAAGTGAATGCTTTACCACATTTTTCACATTCATAGGGTTTCTCTCCAGTGTGACTTCTTGCATGTACTGAGAGACAATTGGTAGAAATGAAGGCTTTACCACATATGTTACACTTAAAGGGTTTCTCTCCAGTGTGGGTTCTCTCATGTATTTTAAGATAACTGGAAGAAGTGTAGGCTTTACTGCATTTTTTACATTCATAGAGTTTCACTCCAGTATGAATTCTTCCATGAATTTGAAGATAACTGGAAGAAGTGAATGCTTTACCACATTTTTCACATTTGTAGGGTTTCCCTCCCATGTGAGTTCTTTCATGTATTGAGAGAGGACAGGTAGAAATGAAGGCTTTGCCACATATTTTACATTTAAAGGGCTTCTCTCCAGTGTGAATTCTTTCATGGATTCGAAGATAACTGGAAGAAGTGAATGCTTTACCGCACTGCTTACATTCGTAGGGTTTCTCTCCTGTATGAGTTCTTCCATGTCTTGAAAGAATACCAGAAGAAGTGAATGCTTTACTGCATTTTTTACATACAAAGGGTTTCTCTCCAGTGTGATTTCTTTCATGTTTTTTAAGTTGACTGGAAGAAGTGAATGCTTTACTGCATTGTTTACATTCATAGGGTTTCTCTCCAGTATGAGTTCTCTCATGTGTTTGAAGTAAAGTGAGGTAAGTGAAGGCTTTCCCACATTCCTTACATTTATGTGGCTTCTCTCCATATTTTTGATACTCACGTGTTTTATGTTCAGTGTGACATCTAATGTGCATTTTCAGCAATGAATGATGTGTGAAGGCTCTTCCACATGCACTGCATCCCCATGGTTTAGCTCCTGTAGTTTTCTTGTTCAGACTGAGATTTGCAAGAAGGCTGACGTTTTCTCCACATTGACTACCCTCTTCGCTTTCACAGAGTCTCCCTACCACATGCTTTCTGTACAAACAAGAAGCACATTGTTAATGATTTCTCTATTAATGGTTTTATATTTCTTACATTTATTATGATTTACAGGAAATGTTTGTTTTCTTCCTTCTGTGAATTCTCTGAAATAAATATACTGAATTTTCTGCTATTATCCAAACAGCAATATTCATAGATACGATTCATTATTACTATTACTAAGTGAAATGTATTGCAAAAAGTGAACCACTGCATCACATTTCAGAAAGTGTACTTGATGAAAATCTTTGAAGAATACCTAAATGTGAAGCAAGGGCTATTTCTTTTTTTGCTCTTTTTAAAAAGACTGTCTTGTACATACAAGGATTCTCACATGAGACAGAGCTTTCTACTGTGTCACTCACCGGAGTTTTCTCCCCAGGTCTTTGTACTGATCTTCAATATCATGATCTTCCCATGTTATTCCTGAAATGCAGACAAAGAACGTTTATTCCAATTATTAGAAACTATGGAAAAAAATTTAGATTCTAAGTATGTGATAATCTATGACCATTTCTACTTTATTTACTAACAACCTCACCTTTCCACATTCTAATCCTTAGAACACTGTTGTTTTTTTTCTTTTTGGGGAAGATTAGCCCTGAGCTAACTGCTGCTGCCAATCCTCCTCTTTTTGCTGGGGGAGACTGGCCCTGAGCTAATATCCGTGCCCATCTTCCTCTACTTTATATGTGGGACGCCTGCCACAGACAAGCGGTGCCATGTCTGCACCCAACATCTGAACCAGTGAGCCCTGGGCCACCGAAGCAGAATGTGTGAATGTAACCGCCATGCCAACAGGCCAGCCCCTTAGAACACTCTTGATGTTCAGGCAGCAGTTGTTCTCACATTGATGCAATGAAGGAATGTCCTCATTCTTACCTACTGAGGCCAGGATCCTGAAGGTTTCCCACATCACATCTCTGTAGAGTTTCTTCTGTGAAGGATCCAGTAAAGCCCACTCCTCTGGGGTGAAGTTCACAGCCACATCCTCAGTGGTCACTGAGTCCTGAAACACCACAAATGCGTGTTGAGTAGCATACATGAGCCTGACAGCACTGGGGATCTATACGCCAATTCTAGGAAGGTTACCTGGGATTCTATTATCTCCAAATATTTCTTCTATGTGTGATCATCACAAACTCGCTTTCTTCTGTACACAGTCTCATCAATTTAACAATATTATGAACACATGGAAATATTTACACAGTTTTACTGTGATGACATTACATCCGACTTCTCTCTAATAACAAGTTCCAGAACAAGTTGGGAAATGGCAGAGGCAGAGAGTGAAATCTACAGGATGTTTCAGTGAATAAAAACATAGTGAACAACTGCAAGCTTTTTGTTCTGGTCCCATCACCAAAGTGAGAGTCCAGGAGGCCTAAGAAATCACACTTTGACCAAGCCCAGCTGCCCACACTGTCCTAAACTACTCCAGGCCATTACAGGTAATCAGATGCAGCTGGTTGAATGGAACTCCTCTTGTGGTGAAACGCTGCTTTTAACTTGTGTAGTATCTATCATAGACTCGGTTCTACCTTTCTCACTCTGGATGATTTGATGGAATTATTATGAACTGAGAGCTCAGGCACAAGGAAGAAGCCATGAAAACTTAGACCAGAAGATCCCTACACTCATTGGCCTCAAAGCTACTTGCCACCATTTTTAGAACACACTCTCGGATAATAATATGCCATAAGAGCTCTTTCTAGTCAAATGTCAACGGTGTGCCCTGAGCTCTGCTCCCCTTGAGGGGTAGGTTAAGAGCTGCAGATTGGGGCTGGCCCCGTGGCTGAGTGGTTAAGTTCGCGCACTCCACTTTGGACACGGCACCACTCATTAGGTGATGCTGAGGCAGCGGCCCACATAGCAAAACCAGAGGTACTCACAACTACAATATACAACTATGTACTGGGGGGCGTGGGGGAAAAAAGCCGGGGAAAAAAGAAGAAGATTGTCAACAATTGTTAGAGCTGGTGCCAATCTTTAAAAACAACAACAAAAAAGAGCTGCAGATGGCAAGCGAGCTCCTTCGAAGTCCACAATGGTTTGATGTTAAATTTGCCCATGATTATAAAATACATGAAGGATTTGTCAGTGGTTTCCTCCAAAAGAACATAAAATTTCCTTTCTTCAACGTCAAGAGGAAGTGTTTCCTGACCACCCACTCTGGATGATGCCCTGCTGACTTATGACCCTGTGCCAAAGGAGCTTAGAAGGTGTCATTCTTGATCTCACAAGAAGAAAATGAACAAACTTGAAATGAACAACCCTTCTTAGATCCAGGAGAGCCTTGAGGTCACAGGACAAATGAAGTCTCCAAACTTGGGAAAGACAAAAAAAAAGATGGCATTTTGCAATATGCCCCACATGTTCTGTTCTTAATACGGCCTGTACTAAAAAAAAACAAATCTATTTCCCCAAAGTCTAATGCAAGGGCAAAAATAACAAGAAAGACAGAACCCAATTTCCATGAAGCCGAGGACAGCCTCTATAAGAGAAGGTTTAAAATCCAGATAACGGGAAAACCTGAAGGAAAAGAAAAGCAGAGCGAGACAGAGGAAAACGTGAAGTAGTAATGACCAAAATACCGTAAAATTAATGATAGCCAGCACACTGTCCATCCAGGACGCTCACGGAACACTAAACACGATAAAGTACAAAGTGCACACCCGAGGGTATCACCCTGAAACTAGAGACACATCACAGACAGAGAATGTACTGAAAAATCCCAGAGAAGAAACACAACTTCGATAGAAAGAAACAAAGATTGGAGTTAAATCAGACTTCTTCTCAAAAACCATGCAACAAGAACAGAGGAGACTGAAAGATTTAAAGTGTTGAAAATAAAACCCACTTTCCCAGAATTCGGTCAAGCAAAATTATCCTTCAGTACCAGGAAGAATACGGACTTTCTGAGACATAATTTGAGGAAATTCGTACCGAGTACACATACTTTGAAGGACCTGTTCAAAAGTTTACAAGAAAGAATGTAAATGATAAAGGTAGGGGATTAGAAGAAGAAAAAATGAGGGGAAGTATCTTTTACGTTTCTTATAATTAATACAACAGATGACACTTTGTTTAAACACAGGGAAAGGAAACTTGGGGACAGCGTGTTAAGAGGTACTTGTACACAGTCAAGTGGCACACTGTTACTTGGCAGAGGGATGGCTTAGCTGTAAATGTAGGCTAAAAATTTAAGGGAAACCACTAAAATGTGTTTTTTAAAAAGTGTGTAACAGATATGCTAAGAGAGGAGAAAAAAAGAATTAAATTGCTCAATTTTAGCCAGAGAAGGTGGCAAAAAGACAAAAACAAGGGTAAAAATGGAGAAAGTAAAAATTTTTGTAAATATTAATCCAACTGAATCAATAAAAATTTTAATCATCAACAGTCTCATTACAGCTGAAAGACACAGTAATAGATTTCAAAAAATACCATCATAGGGGCAGCCCTGAGGCTAAGTGGTTAAGTTCGTGCACTCCGCTTTGGTGGTCCAGGGCTCGGATCCTGGGTGTGGACATGGCACCACTCATCAGGCCATGTTGAGGCAGCATCTCACATGCCACAACTAGAAGATATAACTATATACTGTGTGGATTTGGGGAGAAAAAGCAAAAAAGAAAAAAAGACCGGCAAGGGTTGTTAGCTCAGGTGCCAATCTAGAAAGGAAAAAAAAATAAGGACTGGCAACAGATGTTAGCTCAGGCGCCAATCTTTAAAAAAGAAAAAACAGATCATTATATGTTGTCTACAAGAAACCCACTCTAAGTATCAAGTGAGAGATAGATGAAGGGTAAAGGGATGGAGAAAAACAGACCATGCCAACACGAATTGAAAGGAAGCGGCCAGAGGAATAGGCATCATAGACAATGCAGATTTCAAACTGAGGAAGATGCAGAGATAGAGGGGCAGCAGGTACGGATAAAGGGGCCTATTCTCTGAGAAGGCACAGCAACGCTGCATGTGTAGCTGCCTAACAACAGAGGGGCAACACACCTCAGGGAGGAACTGATGGAATGCAGGAGAGATAGACAGATCCAGTACCACAGCTGTAGAAGTCAACACCCCCTCATCAGGAATTAGAAATTTCAGTAGGCAGGAAGTGAGGAAGGACAGAGGTGCAATGAACAGCACTGCAAAACTGCTGGGTTTCACTGTAATCTGCGGAATACTCACAGAACAGCAGAATATACATTCTTCTCAGGTTCACATGGAACATTCACCAAAACAAACCACACCCTGGGACATAAAGCACATCTTAACAAATTTGAAAGAACAGAAATCATCCAAAATAGGCTCTCACACCACATAGGCATTCCTCTAGGAGGCGATACCAGCAATAGTTGGAAAACCCCTTCATATGTGGTGATTCAAAAATACACTTCAAATAATACAGAATATCAAACTAGAAGTCTCAAGAAAAATGAAAAATTATTTTGAACTAAAAGAACGAAAACACAACATAGCAAAGGTTCTTGGATGTAGCGAAAGGAGTATATGGGGGAAATTCATGCCATGAAACAAATACACTGGAAAAATCAAAGATCTCTAATCACTAATTCAAGCATGTACCTTTGCAAAGAATAAAAAGAGGAAGTTAAACCCACAGCAAAAATAATAAAAATCAGAAAGGAAATGAATGTCATTGTGGGAAATCAATGGACAAAACGAAAAGAAAAAAGCTGTTTGTTTCACAAGACCAATAAAATTGAGAAATATGCACTTAAGATACCAAAGAGAAGAGGGAAGACAGAAATTACTAATATCAGAAAGGAAAGGAGGAGAAATGAATATAAAAATGAGATTTGAGCAAATGCAACATCCATTTATGATAAACTAGTAATAGAGGGAAACTTCCACTTCTTGAGAAAGAACATCTTCACAAATCCTGTAGCTGAATTCATGGTGCTTGTTCCATATGATATGACTGTCTCTACGCAACAACTGGAAGAACTCACAATGACAGAAACGACTCCTGGGATTAATGAGAGCACAGCAAGCTTGCAAGATGTGTGAGTCAACTGCTTTCCTTCTAGAACCACACGAATAGAGTCAACTGATGTTTGACAAAGAAGAAAAGGAGATTCAAATGAAAAAGAAAGTATTTTAAAAAACAGTGGTAGAAATGATGGATACCCACGTGCAAATACACACACACAAAACACAGACATAGGCCTTACACGTTTTAGGAAAATAAGTCAAAACACATCACACATCTGAATGTAAAATGCCAAAGGAAATAACTCCTACAAGAGAACACTGAAGAAAATCTGGATGACCTTGTGTTTGTTGATGAATTTTTACATTGAAAACCAAAAGGCATGGTCCACAAAAGACAACATCAGAAATTTTACTTAATTAAAACGAAAAATTCCTCCTCTGAGAAAGATGGTGTAAAGAGAAGATCAACGCAATTCAGAGTAAGAGAAAATCTCTGTAAAACACTGTTGGATAAATGACGGGTATCTGAAATATGCAAAGAATTCTTAAACCTTAATAGAGGAAAAACATGCAATTAAAAATGGGCGAAAGATCTGCAGACAGCTCACTGAAGAAGAGGTCTAGATGGGAAATAAGCAAACTGACACATGATCCCCATCAAATGTCATTAGGAAATTGCAAAGAAAACAACAATGGGGATCACTAAACACTTATTAAATGGGTAAAAGTCAAAATGTTCAGAACAGCAAATATCGGTGAAGATGGAAAGCGAAGGGAATCCTAGTTCATCGTGGGTGGAAACGGGATTGGGAACACCCACACTGGAAGACAGGAACCTCCTTTCAGAATAAGATACACTGTCACTACATAGAGTAAGAGCCAGCAATCATGCTCCGTGGTATTTTCCCAAATGAGCTGAAAAACCTTATGTTTGCACAAAACCTACATAAGAATGTGTTCCTTTTGTTTCTTTGGTATTTTTTTGAGGAAGATTAGCCCTGAGCTAACTACTGCCAATCCTCCTCTTTTTGTTCAGGGTGACAGAGCCTGAGCTAACAT